GAAAAGAAGAAAAAAAAAGGGGAAGGAAATGATGAAATATTGTTGAAAAAAATTGAATACATTTTCATTACTTTTTACATCTTTTTCATCCTACAATTTTTTTTTCTTTTTCTTTTTCAATTATAATTTGCAATCAATCCATTCTATCGTATTTTTTGTAATTTTATAAAAATTTGAAATAAATTTTATTTCAAGAATAAAATTTACTTTATTACTTTTGAATGAATTGAGGATAATTATTAGAATCAATGTTTTGAATATATTGCAGACTGAAAAAACTACTGATCCAACAGAGATAATAATGGAAGAAAATGAATTAACAGAGGTTACAATACTTGATAAAAGCGAACAATCTCGTGTTCACTTCAGCGAAGATGATATTGTACTATTTCATTTAGCTATCAATTGATAATATCATTTTCATATCTTTTAATTTTGATAACTAATTAGTTATTGCGTATCAAGTATAATTTCTGCCTATTTCTTTCACTCATTTATTTTTAACCTTTTATGTTTTGATTTTAAAATTATTTTTAACAACTTCCAACTATGAATAATTTTTTTCGAGGAAAAAGATTTTTTTTTGTTTAATTTTTTTACTTAATTTCATATTTCTTCTATATTTTATCATTGTATGATAAAATTAATTATCATAAATCATTTGAATTTTTCAGACATTAAATGAAAATGATGCAAAAGATCTACCAGAAAGTACGGAAATATTTGATAATGAATTATCATCACCAATCAATCTTGTTCCTGATGGAAAATTAAGCAATATTATTATCAAAAATGAATGCTTTGGTGTAATGCGTAAAAATTTTAATGTCCGAAAAATGCATACCGCTGTGAAATTGAATGAATTAATGCGAGAAAAAAGTCCAGATGCTCAACTTGTCATCGTTAATTTACCTGGACCACCAGAACTTGGAAGTGGACAGTATTGTTAGTTACTTTAAAAATTTCTTTTTCCTCAAAAATATATTAAAAAATTGGCACAATTTCGAGTTATTTTTGCCTAACTAATAGGTAAATTAAACGGTGTATGTTGAAATCATAAAGCCCGCCTTCTGGATGATCAATTAATTATATTCAGTATGTATCCATCGGGAGAATTAAATGTTATGAGCATTTTTTATAATTGATTATTTCAGTTGGAAAATATAAATTGCTAAATCCTATCAGTATCAGTTATTGTTTTATAATTTAAATTTTAATCTGAAAAAAAATTTATTTTTTTTTTCAACAATTTATAAAACACAACATTTTTTCTTGCGTAAAATTTGTTTAAAACGTTATTAACCTTATCATGATAACAAAAGAATGAATCTAATTTTCCCTTGGAAATTTTAATTAAATTTTAAAACTATTACTATCATATGTTGGCTAATCAAAATTAGCGAATCAAAAAATGAATCAATATGAATTGATTGAAGCGATTTATGTTTCAATGACCGGAAATAAATTCTTTTTTTTTTGATACTAAATGATAGTTAAGTATTGAATACTTTGAACAATGATTGGATAAAATATGTCATCTTACAGATATGGAATTTATTGAAGCATTAACGGAAGGTTTGCAGAGGATTTTATTGGTACGTGGTACCGGCACCGAAGTTGTCACCATATATTCATGAAATTAACAAACACATTGTTCTGTATGACAATATAAGCAAAACTTTTATGGTCATAAATTTATGATTATTCATAAATTTTTCATGTCATCTTATTTCGTTTCATTTATGTATTTATTTATTTTTTATTTTTTTGCTAGAATTTTGCTAATTCCATATTCTAATTTCTTTTTCCTTTTAAAATTCCTCTTCCAATATATGCATGTAACAATCATTTGCTAAATTTATTTTCAAAAATTTTCAAAAAAAATTTTTACCATTCATTATAATTTATGCTTCTTTTTTTAGTTGTATTATTTTTTTATCATTCATTTTTAGATAAGGGAAATTCATCCTGTGATAGTTGTTTTAAATTTTGAATGAACTTAAAATAAAATTTGAAATAGTTCATCATAAACGATCTTACAATACTCTCCTGTATTATGTATTTATTTCTTTTTCTATTTTTTTTTTTTAATACATCTATTTATGTCGTTTTTTTTTTTTTTTCTATCGATTATGTAAATATATATTTCTATCCCATATAGGATTTTATCTCATTAATTAGCAAACTACAATCACAATAGAATTGATCTCTCACCTAATAATAAAATGCAATCATATAGGTTTGATCTCATTAAACGATCTTCAACCTGTCTTTTTAAACTGAGCCATGAATTCAATGATCTAATGAGGCAAAATAATTTTGCTTATAATTTACCTGTTGAAGCATAATTTTTTTTTATCAACATTTATTGATTAAAAATTTTCATTTTATGCATCTTTATTAAACTTTGCTCGGAATTGAATGCTAGATAATTAGTTATTCCAGAGGCTAAGATTTTTAGCTAGTCTTTTTTCTTAATATCTTATCCTGAAACCCGGAGGCAAAATCCGGAGAGATGACTCATATTTTCTTTCCATCTCATGAAGACATTCGTTTAAAATGACAGCAAAATGAAAAAAAAAGAAAAATTAGAGCTTGTGAGAAGAAGAAAAGAAAGATAAATGATATATCTTGTAAAAAGGAAAAAAAAAAGTCATTTATGTATTTTTATTCTGATATTTCATTTCTTAATTTCATTATATATTGTATTTCAAATACGATGAATTGAACTGAATTTATTATTTGCTCCTAAAGCTTCTCATTCTTACTTCTCTTTCATCAAAAGTAATACTTTGATTTTTTCAATTTGATGCATAACTTTTCTTCTATATTATAACAAACATTTTATCATTCTAATCAATCTTTTGCTTATCAATTATCAATTAATTATCTAACCTTTTTGTTCTTTTTCCTTTTGCTATTTCTTATACGTTGTATTTTCAAATAAAAGGAGTACAAAATGAATTTTTTTCAATGCATCCCAAATGTTATCATTTTTCCTGAAAGCATCTGAAAAGGACAAATGCTTAATATTAATTCTAATAATTGTTATTTTAATAATGTTGGAAATTTTTGAAAGAGAAAAAAGAAAATGAGAAAAGGAAATAAAATTGAATATATAATTTGAGAGTTAAAAGAAATTTCATCTAAGATTCTAAAAATACCCTGCAAAATTTTAACCTTTATCAATTTTGATAAGCAAATTTTAACAGTGAATTCGGGCTTCATCTTTGATGTATTATTGCAAGATTTAAGAAGGAAAAGAAAATCGAAGAAAGTAAGTTTGAAATTGAAATTTTAAGTTTCACCAACGAATATTTCGATTAAATTGAGAGAAGGAGAAAGATATGTGTACAAGAATTGTTGGATTGAAATATTGTCGCCAAACATTCTGATACTGAGTAATATCAATTTTGTAAAATTTTGCAAAATTTTCTTTCGGATCGTTATCATAATATTTGATTACTCATTTGATATGCAATTAATTGATATGCAAAATTATTCGAAATAATCTTGAATAAATGAAAATATTAAAAATTCTAAAATTTAAGTGTAATCTTTTCATTTTATCTAAAAAAAAAAAAAAAAATTTTTTTACATGGAATAATTTCCATTAACATATATCAGATATTAAATGATATCAGTAATATCAATGTTAAGCGATATGAAGTGATGATAGAAAATTTTAATTAAGATTTAAGGGATATAAATGCATATGGAAGAAATATGAGAAGAGATGGGAATAATTGGAGTGTTGAAAAGAGGAAGAAGCAAAAGTGTGAATTTGTTCTCTTAGCTTCTTCATTGGTCCAATTGTCCGATATCATCATCATCATCATTATCATTATCATCATCATCATCATTATCATTATCATCATCATCATCATCATCATTATCATCATCATCATCATCATCATTATCTTGTGCAAAGGAGGAGTGGAGTGTTCGTTGGTGAGATTTCAAGATACTCAAGCTCAGTGTTCATCGTCATCTGCCATATTTCAACCAACATTCATTTCCTTTAATCTCTTCATTTTCTCCGGTATCATTTGAAAATCAACGACATCTGCTCTTTTCTCCGCCTATTCCATTCATTTTGCTGTAATTTGTTCAAAAGAGTAAATCATTACTCTTTGCAAACTTTTAAAATTGTAAAATTAAAAGAAATTGATGTGCTAATTAGAAGTATGCTAGGCCTGATTTAAACTTTATTATGCAATCATTCCCAATTATTTTATTTCTCTTCTTTCTTACATCAACAATACAACGATATATTGAACCAAAATTATCATGGCAATATCATCATAATCATCATTTCCAATTGTTATCACTAACATCACCACCAATATCATCATCTTCATCATTACCATCATTATTATTATCAGCATCATCATCATCCACATCATCTTCATCATCAATATCATTTATGGAATTTCCTGAGATTAACAACGATACAATGAATAATCAATACAGATCCCAATTTAGGTTTATTAAATAAACTTTCTTTTTTTTCTTTCTTTTTTTTTTTTTTTTTTT